ATAATTGATTTGATGGTCTTCAGTGTGGGAGTGCTTAATTATTGATGACTTTTCCAGCTCTCCCTTCCTACCATGGGCTTTGTGCTCGTTGATTCGGGTAGGGAGGTCCCTGCCCGTCTCGCCGATGTACACTTTGCCGCATTGGCAAGGAATTCTGTACATCCCCGGTCTGCGCTTGGGGTCCTGTCGGTCCTTGTGCGAAGTAAGCAGGTGATGCAACTGTAGTGGGGCTGTGTGAAAAACTTTAATACCATGCTTGTGGAGAATTCGCTGGATGTGGTGGGAGGTATTGCCTAAGTAGGAGAGGGTAATGGAACTAGGGGCCCTAACTAGTTGGCTTTGGGTATAGGAGACCCTTCGGCTGGGGGTGGATCTGGGATCTTGGGTCTTGACTTAGCTTGGCTAATCCGATTAGACACCACAACTGCAGTGACACCGCAGTCCCACGCACATTTTGAAGCTTGACGCGCGTAAGCAATGTTTTCAAATCAAAACATACCGGTCGAAACGCACAACAGCGATACAAAACGTAACATGAAGGCAAAAGCATTTCAGGAAGTGGAATTTCTTTGGGGCATCCTTTGACACGCCTGCTCACAGAGCATAACGTAACGCATAACGGTCTGTACCATTTGGGTATATAAAGAGTGCATTTTAAGACAGTTTTAAGAAGGTTAGCGTAGCAGTTCTTTCCTCGCTTTTCACCAATGAGACTAGGGGTCGAGTACCAGCTTAGCCCAGGCTTTAAGTGCATGTGGTTTCCAGTCCACACTAGCTCTCGCAGGCTTTCACCGGGTACGTGTTTCTCAGTGATGAGCGACGAGCTCAGTCGGTCTAACCACGACATTTTCACCACTATTCGATATCTTCAAATGAAGCGTGCAGCGGCGTGCCAGAAGCAGAGGTTAGCGGGCTGCCCGGGTACTTACTAGAGTGATGAAAGGGTGGGATGGAACCATCATTACTGTTTGACGGAACCGGCTCGATGCATGGGTTCGTTATTACTTGTGGGTTGGGAAAGGATTTGTGAAGTTTCCACCGAGGTTGGTACTTTTGCCATGGTGCTCCCAGTGACGCCAACTCCTAAACTTAAGGTGCCCATTGGCACAGGTCAAACATTCAGTTTGGAATATCTGAAAAGTCTGCCGTCCACTCACCGTAACCATAAAAGACTGTGAAACGCCCGGATGTGAGGTAAGCGATGCCAGTGCTATAAACGAAGAAAGATCGGATGCCTAGCGGAGTTGTGATAGCAAATAACAGATCTAACATGGAAAATAAGGAGCTTAAACTTTTGGGAACGGCGCTTGCTTGCTGGGCACTCCGGAGGGCCCGTAGCGAGGGACATTGGGGCGGACGTGGTCTCTGATGCTGCATTGGTAGCAAATTCTGTTGCGGAAGCCGTAAGGTGGAATTCCGGGTGGAGTGGGGATGTAGCGACGAAAATAATACTGGCCACACACACTAGTAGGATATGGAGACGCACAGGACCTGGACGACGCTTTCAGCTTCTGGCACTTTCTACCTTTTTGGTCGCGGCCGACTTTTCTCATCATGCGAATCATCAGCAAGGTTATCCATCACGTATTTTTTTCACAGTTGCCCAGCCAAGAGGTGATCTGTCGGCTAATTTAATTAGCGTCTGGCGTTGCTGCAGAGTGTCAAGGGCCTCCTTCAGGGGTGATTTGAACGCCCAAGATGTCGCTGGCATCCAGCGCTGCTAAGGTTGATATAATAAAGTTAGTGACCTTAACAGAGTGGTTGTACTGTTCCTTGTTGCCCTCGCATTTATGAGAGAGACTGGGAGGCAACAGAGATTCACTATGGCACTGTGCCGGGACCAGTTAAAGGTAAATTAAAACCTTGTCTGTCATTCTGGATGGAGAAGTTAAAAGCAAATCGTTCGGTTATTGACACAATTAGTCACGGTTAATTAATTCCTTTCGTCTTTTACCTACTCCATTTAATGCAAGGAATAATAGGTCCAGCCAGAACATCCGATTTTTGTCAAATCCGCCATTGATGATTTGTTACGTAAGAATTACATAATCTGTTATGTGAGCGACATGAACTACCAGCCCGCTTGTTACGAGTTTGACAGAGCGGCGAGTTCGTACCAGTTATTTCCTTTAGGCCTATACCAGTACCTGAGACATAACATAATCAAGGTCAAATCCAAACCGCATCGTTGCAACCTTGTTCACGGTTGCCGAAGGAAAGAAACTACGTTTAGTCCTGGATCTTCCACACACTAATAAATTTGTTGCTAAAATGGATTTCCACAATGAGGACCTAAATCAAATAACCAAAGTTTTGGATATTAATCAGTTTTACATGTCTTTCGATTTTGAGTCTGGGTATCATCATATTGATATTTACCCACAGCATATGCAGTATTTAGGATTTTCTTGGCAACAGTCTAACGACAAACTCAGGTATTACGTTTTTACAGTCCTTCCGTTTGACCTGGGTAGCGCTCGTCATATTTTCACAAAGGTCGTTTTAGACCCTTAGTCTATCATTGACGTCCACATGGAATTATTTCCTTTGTCTTCATTGATGACGGTCTTATTATTTCTAGTTCTGAGCATCAGGCAGAGAGTAACAGATTTTGTCAGAACGATTGCTAACAGCAGTTTTGTTCTAAAACCATAAGAAATGTGTTTGGAGAATCTCACGGTCGATTCACTATCTTGGTTTTATTGTTGATTCATTATCTGCCTCGTTTTTTTGTTCCAGAGAAGAAGACTGACAAACTCCTGTCCTTTATAGAAAGCTGTACGGTTGGGCGGCTGCCATATTGGGTGCCAGTTAAAGGTTCAAGTGGCTTTAGTAGCGGGACTGGTGATCTCTACGAGCCCTGCTCTTTGGGCCAGTTACCAGGTTTATGAAAAGGAATCGCGTGATTGAATTGCGTCTCTCTTGGTCTCAGTCTCTTATCCTTACGTCAGGCGTTCTCCGTGAAATGGAGTTTGGAAAAGAAATACCCAAGTTTTGAATAGTTTCTCCTTTAAGTTTCACCTAATTGCTACCACGCAGTTGTACACAGCTGCCAGTGATTCAGGTTACTGTTGCTTTGTGCAAGGCAACTTGACAAACCAGAATTACGTTTTCACGGCACACGGACCCCATTCAGTCAGTCCCGCCCCCTGACGTTATTACAGACCCAAAAAGGTCTGGCGACTCTAAAAGGTCATACATTCCAGAATATTCTTACAGACCCGAACAGATCTCTTGATTCCAAAAGGTCTCATGTACAACCCCAAACATTCTAACAGACCCAAACAGGTCAGAAGGCCTCATGTACAACCGCAAACATTCTGACAGACCCAAAAAGGTCTCGTGACTCCAAAAGGTCTTATGTACAGCCCCAACAGGTCTGACGACCGCAGCTGTTTATCCAGAGAAAACAACACAATGAGCGTCATTGAAATAAACACTTTTCAAAACCTGCATATAGGTAAATAAACCCCACGCAGTTTATTTTGATGATGTGTAGATAAAGTATTGAACTTGGACCTTGATGTTTGCTGAAGCTTTTTTTGTTCCATGTCTGCTGCCAGGCGCTGACATGACAATCACACAATCTCTGTGTTCAATACAGGTTATAAACAAATATTGACTGCTTCGAGTTAAACTGGCCTCCCGAAGTGATTCATGGAGCATTCTATTGCTTCACACAAAAAATGCTCCATGGATCACCGATAGAGGCAAGTTTTACTATAAAAAAGTCCATATTTGTATTATTATTATCACGTCACCAACAGGTTTACGCTATGAGCCGCAGAGATAGTAGCAAGTCAATTTTACAAGGCCAGGGAAAGCCACAATAGTTACAAGTCCAGAAACGATTCATAAAATTTGCGAAGAGGGTCCAAATCAACTAACTCGAGTCTATCTCACAGAGCTCTATTTTACACATATGGACTGGCAGTGAGGTCACTAGTGCACGTCTATGTCCCCAGGGGAACATGGGCGCCCGCTATAGTGACCGAATTTGGCCAGCCGATGTTTTACAACACACCGTAAACTAGAAAAATATACTTTGACGGTTTTATCTGTTTAAATTCAACTTGCAATCACACTTCAAAACCTGCCCAAAAACTGAAGTTTAATTTTAGTTTTTATAAACGCAGTCTAATTTTTAGTCGCTTGTATAGAACTAAGAAAAGAAATCTTCCAGAGTTTGAACTGTTTCAATTCAGGACAACCTCCAAAGGGCGCAATAATCAGTCAAAAATGTTCAAGACTAGTGCCTAACCGGGCACTAATCTCTGGAATTGATACACCTGCAATGTCTAGCCGCGTGTGGAGTCACGCTGACGCCAATTCATGTACTCGCCCATATTAGTGAACCACACGTGACCGTATTTCAGCCAAGGTGTGCTACAGCTTTATGGGGGGCACGTGCCCCCCACACTAAATACATGGATGATACATACATATTGAATAAGGCTACTGAAAGCTTACCCCTGAAAACCTCACTACTAAAAGCTGGTGCCCCCTTTGTGCCACCCAGTAAAATCCTAGCTTCACCACTTGAGCGCGATACAATCTTTGGCTCAAATCGGGCCAAGAATTTATCAGCTCTACCCAAATGTTCAAAAATTGGTTATTCGATAATTGATCAATAATCAGTAACTGTTTTTATGAGCCTATTCTTTAAAAGGTATAAGAAAAATTGACTTGGTTGTCCTTTCCACAAAATAACTTCCTGTATTCAAAATTATTTCAAGCTTTATACAGGTATTTAAAAAATTTCAACCATAAAAATTAAAATAATTAAAAAAATCAAATAAATTAACCGGAAACATGCTAAACTGGAAATGTCATCCGCTTTGAGCAGAAGCACCCCCGCATCAGTTGCTTGAAGAACTATGCCCTGTCTTGGTCCAACTTCGGGCTACATTAAATACATACAAGCTAATGTGGAAATAGTGTCAAAATGGTCGCAGGGTCAACCTTGTGATTATCTCTTATCTTCCCTTTTAAGGAATAATTTTCAAACTCCCTCACACTGTCAAACACAATGCCTTCTCAAGAAAGTCACCATCAACCTTGCGAAGAGCGTTAAGAACTTAAATTGTCATACCTGTCTTGAATAATGTATTTTCTTTGGTCCAGTGCAGTCACGTAATCAGGAAACAAACACACATGTTACCCTAACTACTGGACATCACAACGTCGAATCATCAGACCAGTCCCTACCAAATGAAGAACAAAATGCATGGCGGGACCACTTAACTGTGCTATTCGTTGGTACCTCTGCTATTTGCAACCGTACAGTTGATAACTCTTGTGGGAGAAATGAACTGGCACTGCAATCCGATGACAGGTCAATGGAACACTGCAATTATTGAAGTTTATTTGAAGTTCGTTTTTGATTATAAAGTTTCTGACGTCTTACGTCTATTCTTCTAAACTGTAATGTTATTGCTCTCGAGCAAGACGTGTAACCAACACAAGCCGATCAAACTTGCTCTGCAGCATGCAGCACACCAACATATTCATCATTAAGTCATTCTTATTAAATTGGACACCTTCAGGTGAGGAAAATATTACACAGAATTCGGGACAGAGGTATACAGCAGAGACAGAGCACCCTTGGCCTTGCCTCAGGTGCCATGAGTCACTTGGGTGTTAAACGTAATGTCCAACATTACAAGCAATTACTATTGAGTGCTCAAAAGTACAGTCAGCAGAAATATCTTCGAGTCCTTTGCAGGTCAGCCATGCATGTCATCTGTACCACATGGCCAAGCATGTTCAGCCCTTTATTTGGACCGAAAGTGATCCGCTTTCTGCAGGATCAGCAATGCCGTACATACTTCCACATACAGTAGCAACAGTGGTCCTATGGTAGGAACTCAATTAAATGTAGCCGTAATGAATTTTTCATTGACACAATTTTTCTGCAATTCTGTACTCTTCTTCAATGTATGAACACTCTTTACTCGTACACTCCCATTTGGCTAAATGCACTGAAAAGTGCACTTTTTTGAACACTTAAAATCATCCATGCTTTCTTGGACGGATGATGAGGGCACTGTTGCTATGATGTCATCCAGGGAAGACGTAGCTCACTGCACAGGTTTTCCTTTCAAAACCGTGAACCCAAAATTTACTTACTGAAAACATTTCTTGGAAAAGCTTTGGTGTTCACTTATTGCTGTGACATAAACAACAATGAATCAGCAAAGAAGAAAAACTTTGTCCAGCAAAATCTACAAAGTGTATGTTTTTTGTATAAAAACCAATGCAACAGTTTGGCTTTCTTCTTGGGATGACAGTACAGTTTTGCTTATGAATATGGAAATACTCATTAGCATAAAAGTGCGTAGGACACACTGAGCACGTGTAACCATATGAGTGTTGGAATAAACTGTCTCTGCGTCTGCAATGAATACCCACATGAAATGATTCTCACCAACCTGTCCCCTCTTCGCCGTTGAGGGGGTGCTTCAAGTCAGGGCAAAATCATCAGGACGTGTCGAAATACAACAGTAAATTTCCCCATTTCACTTTACTTAGTGCTTGAGCCCCACTGGCAATGATGGGACAACTGTTGGTCTACTGACAGGGGCTATGACATAAAGTAGTGATCCGACATGAGTAAGGGGCAGTCGTGGAATTCGGTGGAGTAATCATAATACAGGACCGTCTCCTCTGGCTTGGAGCGCGTCCCACCCTGGATGCCACACTGCTCCAGGGTCTTGTCCGGCAGGAGCAGGCACGAGGCATCACGGGACTTGTCTGAGAAGATGCGGAGTTTGGTGGTGCCCAAGTCGGTCCGCTCTTTGATGATCTCCAGCAGGCCGAAGACAGTCAAGTGGGAGTGGACGATCACACTGAAATGGCCTGGGTAGGACCGCAGGTTGTCAAAGGTCACGAACTTGAGATATATATACACATATCTGAAGGTTCAAACATAGCAAGGAACTTTACTTGAGCCAAATTTCCACTACACTGTGAGCGATCTTCTCTGAATTATGTACAACGGTGCCAACTGTTCTTTGTATTATTAAACTAAAGCTGCCACGCCTGGCAGGTCAGTTACTTGGACTAGGCTCGAGTTAACACGAGAAGTCAAATGTGTGTCAAATTTAATAAATTCGCACTTGCACAAGAAAGAATGGGGATGTACAATGTATTGGAACGCACTTATCATGCTATGGCATGTTGCATAGTTACAAGCTAGTGTCTTGGCTCTCTGTCTTTATACATGCACCATTCCATTGAAGTTCATTGTCACGCTGCCCATAAAGGCATAAGATGAGCTGATACTCACTTAGGGTACTTCTCGGCATATGGTTTCCACAAGCCAAGTTTACAGGATGGGCACTCTTCCAACACCTCCTTGGTTATCTCTAATGGAGGGTGCTTTTCAGTTCCATCAGTCTCCTCCTCACTGCAATATAACAAGCACTAAGTTTGCTCAGAATTTTAATAGCAAGTGAGCTCCAGTTCTACAGGTTTCTCTACCTTGAGGGATTACAATGGTGCAGACTTCCATTGTGGGGATGAGCTTCTCTTGCCTCTCCCCACTCCCAGATGTTACGTTAAAGTCATCTCCTCCGTCCACTCCTAGACTAATGGAAGTGGATGGAAGTGGATGCACTTTCCAGCACAAGTCATCTCCTCTGACCACTCCTGGACTAATGGAAGTGGATGGAAATGGATGCAGTTTCCAGCATAAGTCGTGTCTTCTGGCCTCTTTTGCACTAATGGAAGTAAATAGAAGTGGATGCAGTTTCCAGCATAAGTCATCTCCTCTGACCACTCCTCAACTAATGGAACTAGATGGAAGTAGATGCACTTTCCAGCACAAGTCATCCACCTCTAGCCACTCCTAGATTAATAACACTGGATGGAAGTTGATACACTTTGCAGCATAAGTTATCCACTTCTAGCCACTTTTAGACTAATGTCACTGGATGGAAGTGGATGCAATTTCCAGCACAAGTCATCCACCTCAAGCCACTCTAGACTTATGCCACTGGATGGAAGTAGATGCACTTTCCAGCAAAACACTTATCCACCTCTAGCCACTCCTAGATTAATGGCACTGGATAGAAGTCGATGCATATTGCAGCACAAGTCATCCACCTCTGGCGACTCCTAGATTAATGGCACTGGATGGAAGTAGATGCACTTTCCAGCAAAACACTTATCCACCTCAAGCCACTCCTAGACTAATGGCACTGGATAGAAGTCGATGCATATTGCAGCACAAGTCATCCACCTCTGACGACTCCTTGATTAATGGCACTGGATGGAAGTAGATAGACTTCGCAGCATAAGTTATCCACCTCTAGCCACTCCTAGATTAATGGCACTGGATGGAAGTAGATACACTTCGCAGCATAAGTTATCCACCTCTAGCCACTCCTAGATTAATGGCACTGGATGGAAGTTGATGCACTTTGCAGCACAAGTCATCCACCTCTAGCCTCTCCTAGACTAATGGCACTGGATGGAAGTAGATGCACTTTCCAACACAAGTCACCCCCCTCTAGCCACTCCTAGACTAATGGCACTGGATGGAAGTAAATGCACTTTCCAGCACAAGTCATCCACCTCTAGCCTCTCCTAGACTAATGGCACTGGATGGAAGTAAATGCACTTTCAAGCACAAATCATCCACCTCTGGTCACTCCTGGACTAAAGGAAGTGGATGAAGTTTTCAGCATACCTCATCCACTTCTAGCCACTTTTAGACTAATGTCACTGGATGGAAGTGGATGCAATTTCCAGCACAAGTCATCCACCTCAAGCCACTCCTAGACTTATGCCACTGGATGGAAGTAGATGCACTTTCCAGCAAAACATTTATCCATCTATAGCCACTCCTAGACTAATGGAACTGGATGGAAGTGGATGCACTTTCCAACACAAGTCATCCACCTCCAGCCACTCTAGACTTATGCCACTGGCTGGAAGTAGATGCACTTTCCAGCAAAACACTTATCCACCTCTAGCCACTCCTAGATTAATGGCACTGGATGGAAGTCGATGCATATTGCAGCACAAGTCATCCACCTCTGGCGACTCCTAGATTAATGGCACTGGATGGAAGTAGATGCACTTTCCAGCACAAATCATCCACCTCTGGCCACTCCTAGACTAATGGAAGTGGATGCAGTTTCCAGCATATGTCATTAACCTCTAGCCACTTTTAGATGTAATGGAAAAGTATGAAGTCTAAGCAACAAGTTCAAAATGTAAGCCAACTAAATAGTAAGGCAAAAGTCTCACTCTGCCAACCTGTCTCCAATCATTACTATTTGGTCAAGTTTCCCCAGATTACCCAACAGACAATAAAAGCAAGTTGGGACTTACTCTGTACAGAAGCTCAGTCCTTTAGAGAATTCCACATAATCAATGGTCTCGTTTTTGTCTTTGTCTAATCTCTTTGCTAGTACATGCAGTTCAAGGGCGTTGCAAGGCGCATCTAGGTCCAGCATTCCTGCATCATAGATTTGAACAAAGGGAGATGGAAAGGAAGTTAGAAACACCGCCAGTCTTGATTAATTTCTGTCTTGTATTTCTAATAGCTGGTTGATGGCTTTTACAACAGTGATTTGGAGAGTAATAATTTTTTCAAAATGCTAACAAAAACTTGTACTGTACATGTACTGTGTACAGCATACTGTGCACTGTACTACGTGCGCTGTGTGTGGCCACGGACGGGCAGTTGCAACACGAAAGGGCTCGCACTTTAAATCACCATAACAATGGCATAGTTCCCGACAACCAACGACTCTGAAATCACCAGGTAGGAAACACGTGGCCCTGAATATCATTTCCTTAAAGTGTGAATCCTACACCTTTCTTACCTGAAGAGAAATTTGAGTGAAAAGTGTCCACGAATTATGTTTACTTGAGCATTCAAAGAAAATCTATCTCGTGTTCCGTCAAGTGTTTCGTCGTGAAATTCATACTTCGATTTCTCATCATTTTTGGAAGATAATTGTATCAAACTTTCAGGTTATCACATTTAACTCATGATTTCATCCCTGCTAAAAATTATAGTCCCCAAGAGACCACAAATGTGCCGTTGCTATGGGAATTGACAGTACATGTACTTTTAAACAGCGCATGCAATGCACATTGTAGACAATTTGTGGCACGGTCCATTACCCTTTTTTCGAAGGCGGTTTTTTCGATAACTAAAATCGGCTCTCCTGATGACACACATCGTCTTTCTCGCTTCATATTTTCCAACACAAGTGGCGCAGGGAAATTTGGTATCTTCGTAAAGCTTAATAAACTCTCTTTATTTTCCTGCTTATATCTCAAAAAATTGGATTTGGGGATCAATCCTCGAAATGCCATTGTAGGTTAACATTTAGTAATGGCAAAAAGATGGAGTGAAGTGACACAGAGGATCGCAGCTTATGGCAGGGGTTTAGGGCCCCCTTAATTAAGTGGACTCTAGATTGCTTTTTCGGCAAGTTTTTCTCTCCAAATTGATTAAGAGTTCAATTTTTTCAAATTCTTCCAGTCAAAAATATGAAATGTTCATGGTCTAATGTTGTTTTTTGGAATTTTAAGATCTTTTGTGCCTGTCAGTTGGCTGCTCCATCAAGCTTAGTGCTGGACGGTAGCACGCTGTACTGGAGATCCCCGACTAGCGCCAAGCAGCGTAGCTATAATACTGCTGAGTATATGTATATACCCTCTGCAATGATCCAACGTGACAATCCAACTGCAAGAGAGCACAGCTGTTATTGCCTTCCACCCCGAGCTGAAGTGCACCCCCAATTGGCGAAAAGAAAGACAGGTGGTTACAAGCAGGTTCTTGCACGCGTTCTGCATGTACATAAAGACCATACGTGCCAGAGTAAATACAGGCAATTCACAATAGTGCGCCTCCAAGAGTTTGCAACGCGTTGACCAATCACAGTGCGCGAAATCCGTCGGCCCAATGTGCATTTGGAAAGGGTCGACAGATTTCACGCACTGTAATTTGTCAACACGTTGCAGACTCTTGGAGGCGCACTATTGTGAATCGACCATATTAGTAATGCATACTTAGCGTGCTCCGCCTCATGGCGCACCTACATGTATGCGGTGAGTACCAAAAAAAACAGGTCCTCTTTTGTTCCACTCGGAGCATATATGTGATGCATTTTAATGTTCAAGAGCCAAATTATCACTGGCTTACTTAACTTCAGGTATTGTGCCAGTTGTTTTATTGTTTACCTGGCCACTCACTCAAGGATCTGCGCACGAGTCAAATTATATACTACAGCAGTTCAGTGGAACTGTCGCACGGATGAAATACGCACATAGAAGTATTGCACCAACATACAAATCATCAATGCATAAATACTTTATCGTGGTTACGATGCCTGAAAATTTAATGGCAACTAAATATGTATGAGGTGGGGTGGACGGTCAATATTATCTTCCCTGATGTTGGACGTTAACAAATAAGTTGTTACCTTGAGCGCCAGTTTATCAACTTCCAGTACTTCAAGGAGTTAAATCATGTTCCCTACCCCCCTTTTTTTTTAGTGGGGAACTGAACAGAGTCTGTCCTCCTCCCAACCAAAAAGAAAAACCTTTGTCATAATCTCTGCATTCATCCTAAGCTGGTGTTTCTTTTCAACCTTCCAGTTCTTAGCACACCTGATTTGAATTCATCATAGGTCAGTACTCCATCTCCATTCCTATCAAATCTCTTGAAGAGTTCCACAGCTTTGTGCTTGTTGGCCACGATCCATCGATCCATCCGATCCAGGAAGTTCTGGTACAGGTCAGTCTGGGAGGTCATGAGCTCGCATGCCTTCTCTAGTTTCTCCTGACGAGAGCCAAAAAACAAACTAATCTTGTAGCAAGTACAATTCTCTACTGGCTTTGTTGCGAGCTAGCAAACCAAATCTGGTTCAGGTTCCGACTCATATGCAACATTTTGTGGGTACAAACCCCCTGGGGTCATGGTTGTTATGTACCTTCGGCAAAACACTTAACCACAATTGTCAAGCTGAGTCTTGGAGGGTAGCGATTTCACAGCACTACATCTCTAATGATAGCAGAGACTGATCTCCTAGCCCAATGAGCAGGGATAAGCGCTTGGAGACTTTGGTCACATTAAGAGCTCAATAAAATGTCCGAAAAAAAAAACCTGTTCGATTCAGAGATCAACGTCACCCTCCCACATGACATCTCCTCTTCGCCCATTTCCTAAATCTTCAGGGAGGTATCCTTATGAATCATGGCATAATATTTAACTTCAGAGGTCCTTTCATTCAAATGGCAAATGCAAACTGCTGTACTGACCATACCAATGAGGGAACGGTTACTATGGGTATTGATTTGTTTGCAGGTACATGTATGTGTGTGGCACTGGCGTATATGTATGGTTCTTGGGCAAGCAAGGTGAATGCAATTACATGTAAGAGGAGGTTTATATAACAATGACCAGGCTACATGCCGACATAGCTCAATAGTTTACAAGTTCAGTAGTCTGCAGTCCAATGTTCAACAGTCTGAATGTTCAACAGTCCAAATAGTGCAAAGGCTCAACAATCTAAAGGTTTAATAGTTTGAAGGTTTGTTTGGCCAAAAGTTTGATAGTCCCAAAGTTCATTAGTCTGCAAATAGATAAAGACTAAATAATCATGAGGTTCAATAGTCCAAGTCAAGAATAAGGTTCACTCGTTGGAATCAACAAAAAGGTTCAATTGTCCAACAACTGAATTATACAAAGGAATTAAGGGATGTTGAAGTCAAGTTTGGACTTCTGCTTGGACCCTATTTGGATTAATGAATTTTTAGACTCTCAAACTTTGTGTTGGTGTAGGACTTCTGAATATTTGGGAAACTAAATCTTATCCTATAAATTCAGTCAACTGAACCTTTGGATAACCTGTGGGCAAAACTTCAGACTAACGAATCTTCAGAGTATTAAAACCAAATGCTCAGATCAATGAACTTTTTTTTCATTTTTTAACGAATAAACCCTGAACTATAGGAAATTTGTACATTCCAACTGATGTTGTGCATTGAGTCGGGATGAATAGGCCAAACTGATTAGAAAAGAAACCAAATCCAATGCCCAAACAGATCTGAATTCCCCAAATCTGACCCGACAAAAACTGAGGAAGAACCGACCGGAACTGACCCAAAACCCCAACTGACCTAAAAAAAAAAAAACAACAAGAATATCTTACTAGGGCTGTAGCGATTCACCGATGCATCAATAATCGCAAATCTAAAATGCCACGATACGGCATCGCGATACAAAAATGTGAATGCCGATATTTGGGGGGAAGGGGGGCTTGTGATAAGATGTGCCGTAAGTTGAAAATAAAGTTAAGCCTTATAGAAATTTGATATACAGCTTTATACTTTTAATATCGCCTATACTGATTACTCTTGCAAGAAACAGTTTTGGATGGGTTTAGCATCACGGCCAACTCGCCTCACGTACATGTACATGACGTACCTGAAGGCCTACCTGTCAACAGAACGCAAGAGTGACGGTGACAGTCAGGCATGCATCCTGCCGGCAAACCTTCACACCGATCTCGTTGTCATGAGGAAATTGGATGCATATCCAACTTTATCCTTTCATTTGCTTAACCACACCAGTTTATCAGGTTTAGGCCTAGACATGTTTTTTTCCTCCTTGCGTAAGCACCGTTTTTTTCTGCGCAGAACTTTACGATCTTTGGTTCGGACACCAAACAGTACTAGAGCTCTGTAATGCACACGAGTGAATCTACATACATGTACAGCATATGCCTACAGTGATCAACACGTAGTGTGGCTGGGATTTAACACAAGCCTTGTGTGTGAACAGCATCCTGGGACCATCCAGTCATTGTGTTGTGATTGGCTGTCAATGGAACATCAATATTCATACATGTGTTAGCGGGACTCATTACAGCCGTAACTGGAAGTAGTGACTAACAATCTCTACTGTTACCTGCAGTACCACACATTTCACTGTGAATTTACGGCTTGAAATAAGATTAGTACATTTTCGCTTTCGGCGACGTGATAGAGGGTTTCGTGACAACTGGCCCAGGGCGCTTAAAGTTTTTGTGTCATCACACAGATTTTGTACAAGCTTTCAAACAATTTTCTGATATTAATTTATCAATTATATATTTATCGAATATATAATTGTCTGAAGAGGCTCTGATTTGGGTACAATCTTTGACAAGACCGATCCTCAAGATGGTAAGTTGCCATTGGTAAGTTACCATTGGTAAGTTACCATCGGTAAGTTGCCATTGGTAAGTTGCCATTGGTAAGTTACCACTGGTAAGTTGCCATTGGTAAGTTACCATTGGTAAGTTACCTAGTGAATCGTTTCAAATTTGTTTCTTTGTTTTTACAATATGTATTGTGATATGTATGGTATCGCAACCCCAGTATCGCGATACATATCGTAACTCGAGAAAGTGGTATCGCTACACCCCTGTATCTTACCCAAGCAAATCGTCAATCATTTGTTGCTTTTCGTGCACCATCTGTGTTGCATGCATTACAGGTATTTGGCAAAAATCACTGCAATAACTCAAAACTGTTGCAATTCAGACATCTTTTGCAGTCCCCAGAAAAATCATGGATCCTGTCAATCAGTACCAGGCACTGGGACTATGTAATAATAAATGTAACATGTGAATATCTGAATTGTTGTCTCTTTAGAGAGGTTATTTAGGTGCTAAGACGGCTTAACCAACCCAACCTGACCCAAAATTTGCAGCTGCAAAACCAAAAGCCGACCTGACCCGACCCAACTTAAAGGCGTAGAAAACTCAACAAAATCCAACCTATGAAGCCAGCTTCAGGTCAAAGCAGTTGCAGCTTTGGGTCAGATTTCAAAAACAAGAGTTCAAACTATTGAACCTACAGATCAATGACCTCCGGACTACTGTTCTTGGATACTATCCAGCAGACCTTAAGACCATGGTCACTTCATTAGCCTGTTTGAAGTATGGCGGACACAAGAGGAGGGTGCTACTTGGTTTAGGTAAAATCTTTGGTGTTTACTCAGAATTACCCATTTCAGAGAGTGCCCTCCTATTGTGACCTCCATAAACATCAGTTAGTCAAGGCTACACAGGAAAGGGTGAAGCTCTGGGCAGGTTTCACGGTAACATACCTTTGCCTTCTCAGCCTTGTTCACCTTCTTCTTTGCTCCACCCTTTTTCTTCTTCTTTCCTTTCTTCAGCGGCATGATTGGAGACTTTTTACAGCCTAAGCAGTCCACAGCCCGTCTAAACTGAGAGATCAAAAAAGACGATTAGGATGTGAAAGGAAAATACGGTCTGGTCAGCCTCTCCACAACTGACAAATCTCGGAGCTGAGTGACGCAGGGAAGATACGGGGGTGAAAATATCTCCAGTTTCATATTTTGCATCTGGATTTTACTGATTCATTTTCATGACCCACCATCCCCAAAAACCAGGCTGAAGTTGGTAACTTCATAGCCCTAAAATAGTGGAACTTCCACTGTTCATATTTTCATGAGAGTTTTATAGCTATTACTACCCGTAAGAAGCTCACTACAGACAGAATTTCAATTTCACATGGATCACTTCAAAGTGTAGAAAAAAGCTGAAGGAGAGGAATTGTCCAACATAACAAATGACCTCAGCCTGGTTTTGGGATGGTGAGTGACATTTCGTCTCCGGTTGATTCTATCCCTGTGAAACGTGCAGGGTTGAGCCCCTGAATTTTCTCTGGTGTGGAAGTATGCATTTTGACAGATATTTACAGGGTATGTGCACCTCCGTTTAAATTCTGGATACCTGATATGTGTATGTACATTTATGTGCGAAGTGCTCGTGAATTTTAAGTTTCAGTATCATCAATCTCCAGTGATCTTTATTCTCGTTAGTAAAGCAAACAAACAGAAAAATGGAAGGCTTTTTAAGTGTTCATTAAAAGTGGCAGCGCTGAGGTGCTTTTAAGCTTGAAAAACCAGGTTACAACAGGATTTCCCGGTAAAGGTGCACACTTCATGCAGCAAGTACCTGCCCTAGATTGACTCTTCACCAGCCGGACTCATTCCTGGGCAAAGTAAGCTCAATTTGCTCAAAATGATTGATTGAAACGATGACGCAGGGTTAAAAGTGGGGTTGAAAAATCAAAAGCTCAACCCAGACACGTCACCTTTAAGGGACTGTACTTATGTTATACGGTTATTCCAGAAATCAGGGGTTCATTTTTTGTGGCCCTGTGACATCTAACATATGATTTTGTAAGTTCAGAACACATTTTCTAATTTCCAAGAGCGATGAATTAATGCATATTACCTGCCAAACATGTAGTAATAGTTTGAAATCAATTCTGGTGATATTTCCATGTCAAATAACAAAGGTCAGATGTAATAGGGACACAAAAAGTCACACTTTTGGACCCCTAATTCCTGAAATTACCCTACACTATGGACCTTTTTCCTGTGATGTCACAATCGTGCTTGACCGCAATGTGTTGTGATGGTAATCTACTCATCAAAGATAAACTAGTCAAGCATGTAGCGTTTGCACGTGCGCTTGTATGTGGTTGAAACTGCCTGGAGGAATGTATGCGATCACCATGGCCATGGCGGCCTACATGTGGTGGTATTGTTAAGTACATTTAGTGCAATCTAGTCACGTGAGTGAAGAAGGTCTATAGAGTACTGAAGTGTGACGTCACTGTGAACCAGAAAGTGCAGGGCCGTTTACGAATGGAGTAAGCACGCGTGTTGGTTCACGCACCAGTTCTCGCGCTAATGCCTTTTACACTCTAATTGTGCGCGTAATGTATTCACTTCGGTACTCTATACCGTATTGGAGTTTCAATATCAGCCTATTTATTGGAGTAGGCCTATTGACTTGGGCATGGATGTCAAGCAAGCCAACCAATTTACATGTACCAATTCCGCTCCGGACAAGAAGACCACTGAGACAACTCAACCAGTGGGACAACTCAACCATTTACCAAGTCGTCCACTGACAACTCAACCGTGCAAAGTGCAAACTAGCCCCACTAGTGTGGCACGGATCACTCCCGATTTATCCTTAGCCACACATCCGTATGCGCAATTTCGTGTCGGCGTACTGAACATTTTTGGCGCACCCACTTATAATCGTGGGTGCAATTTCTTTTGCATACGAACATGATTCTTGACCTGTCCGTTTTCTAAATACCATTTATTGAATGATTTCACTCACTCTCGCAGTCGCCATCTTTAAAATAACGTCGTTGAGCATTACGTCACTTAACCCCTCGTCATCTCAGCGGCTGTTCCATGTCAAGACATGTAATAAACGGACTGAGCGATAAGATACTCCATGTACCAATGGACTCTTCCAAAACTTTGGCAGCAGTTTAGATGTCTTGACATGGAACAGCCGTTGAGACGACGAGGGGTCAAGTGACGTAATGCTCAACGACCTTATTTTAAAGATGGCGACTGTGAGAGTGAGCCCGTTAGATTGAATGGATAAAGGAAAAAAGACTGGAAAATACCTGAATAACGTGAGTGAAATCATTCAATAAATGGTATTTAGAAAACAGAAAGGTCAAGAACCATGTTCGTATGCAAAAGAAATTGCGCCGCGATTATAAGTGGGTGCGCCAAAAATGTTCAGTACGCCGACACGAAATTGCGCATACGGATGTGTGGTTAAGGATGGATCAGGAGTGAGAGTCCGTGCCACACTAGTGGGGCTAGGTGCAAACATGACAGGGTGCGGGGCAACCTAAGTCTGCATTATTAATACGTTTAGGCAAATTTGCGAGGGTTGGGTTAAATCCCACCTATGGTTGTGAAAGACTGTTTCAAAAAAGGGAAAACAGAGTTTGACTTTCACTCTTACAGGATCGGCCGATCATACTAATTAGACCTACTATCAACATGATCAACACACCGTCAACACTGACATACCGCCAACACACCGTCAAGCAATGCACCAACCATCTGCAGCTACCGGCATTACTGTTGTTTATGGCACCTGCATACCCACACAAGAATGGTGCAGTCAAACTCTCTCAAAGCTCCCTGAGAAGTCAAGATGGCGCCGATTTTTGTGTGAAAAAAGCCATTTTGAAAACTGATTAAATACCTCCAAGTTGTCCAACCACTGGAAAGTCGTTTAGCTTTAGTATTACTCTTCTATGCCTCTATTGTCGATTTCAAATCACTTTTAAAAGCCATTTTAAAATCTCCAGCAGCCCAAAAGGCAAACGCAAAGTACATGTAGTTCAAATTTGTAAATTGGAACGGTAGGCTAAATGAGAAACTGACGCACCTTTCACCGAATAGCACCAGGCTACATCTGGCATACATATCATGTACATGTACACTGTACATATATGGTGTACTAGCCTACTAGCAACCAAAGATTGGATAGGACAAGGCTACATCTGATATACATGGTGTATGTTCCAGCCGACTAGCAACCATGCATGACGCTTTGGCTTTGCTTCGCAACAGGGACAGCGCCCTCTATCAACAACACGAAAGACGGTACATGTGAAAGCGTGAAAAAGGTAAAACTGCCCCCCCCCCGCCGCACAACCTTGTATGTTAGTTAACATCAATTTCAACGTTTGTTTCACAACTTGAAAGGGTATTTTGCCGCCTTTTTGGCTTTCACACTTGAGTATTTCCACATTCATGAGCAAAACTGTTATGTCACCCCAGGAAAACTTCAATGTTACACTGGTTATTATGAAAAAAAAATTGATTGCTTGTTGTGTAAATACATAACAATTGGCAAGCAATCAACCCTGTCTCTGAAATATTTCTTTAGACTGAATATGTCATCTTTGGACGCGCCCTTACTGTCCAGGAAAGCATGGCTTCTTTAAAATGATTTTTAAAAGTGCTGGCTGTTTTCAGTGTATCTAACAAAGTAGGGATGTCTAACAGTAGTTCCATAAACTGCATAAGAGTATAAAGCTGCAGAAAAATAATAGTGTAAAAAAAAATTCATGTCAGCTAAACAGCAGGGGGGTATCCAATGGTCCTTACATCCTTGGATGTTCAACTATTAGTTCCTGACTACCACTATTATTGCAATTATTTCCTTTCAAAACAGAGCACTCTCTTTAAGTCAACTTTCTTCTAGAATTTGCAGAACTACAAGCTAACGGTCCTCTTGAGGCTGTCAACATCTTACAAACTTCCTTTTCGCAAAACATCCAGTTATTAATATAGGTAAAAAAAACCAGATTTTTCTGGCAAGCCGCAACTCTGACTTGATGTGGCTTCGATCGTGGAGGAGACATATCGCCCTCAGTCGTCGTATAATTGTTTTTGATTAAAGTGGCGTATGGGTGTATAATGAAAATAATAAGCCGAACAGTTTTTCTCATAAAAACAAACTATAATAATATACTGTACACACATCTGGGGCCCAAGGTCTTGTGGCGTTAACCTCCAATGTGGAAAAAGCATCCAAATACACACTCAGACCTTGATGCGACAAATTAAAATCCATATTGACTGCGGGAGAAGTCGAAAACAGGCCGAGCTTCCGTCATTCGACATAATTACCAAAGGCTAGTCTGGAAACTCTTAGCAGATTGAGTTGCATTCAGCTGTTTTCACTCATTCGTCTGTACAACCTTTGTAAAGTAAAGGTTGTGTAGTTGGTGGAATTTGAATCGATTACTGTTGAATTAATGTTGATGTTACCTATTTCAGAATGAAGTGTTTGTTTGTGTGAACATATATGGTGCTAGCAATGTAGCTTTAATACTTTATCTGACAATGCAAAGGGCAAAGTAGTAAGTCAAATTGACAAGATGAAGTAAGAATTTGTAATTTTGTTTTCAGAATCCCAACAAGTTTTACAGCACATAGCGCAATTCCTTGACTTGGGTTGGCTTTGAACACTACATAATGGGAACTCATTAAAAGCGACCGGGTATAAATGAGTTTGTAAGTAAATCTGATCCAACACTAAACCATATAGCAATGCAGACCCTGCTTTACTTGATTTCCAGTTCAATAAAAACGAGAGACAAATACATACGTTGCTTACTCAAGTTTTATTTCAGTGCCGTAAATCAATTTTAACACCCAATCAGTGTCAAAATGTCGACATCCAAATTTGGTGCCAGTCTAAACCACTATGTGTAAGGCATAAATGACACACAGAGAGCGTTAAATAAACACCCCATAGTGTAACCTAATCAACACTAGTTGGTGGTAATGTAACACCAAACTTGGGTGTTAATAAGTTTTAACACCCACGGATGTAGTCTTCTGATAACACTTCTAAAGTGTTAAAAGTAGCACACGCGGTGTTACTTTTAACACCGTAGTTTTTGCAGTGTGATGACGAGAACTAAGCCTAATTGCCTGTGTGATCCACCTCGCGCTGTATTCGGTATGAAGTCTGACTAGTTGAAGAAATATGTCCAGTTTTTAGTGCTGTGTAATAATAGCGCAAAAGGAATTACCAAAATGTACAGGAACAGTTAGTATTTTCGAAAGATTAATAAATTAAAATGAAACGTGTAGCAGGGAAACTTTATTTGTACGGGCGATTCGCAATAATGCGCCTCCAAGAGTCTGCAACTCCCGTGTTGGCCAATCATAATGTGCGAAATCTGTCGACCCAATGCGTGTTTGGAAAGGGTCGACAGATTTTGTGCATTTTGATTAGCCAACGCGTTGCAAACTCCTAGAGGCTCACTATCGTTAATCACCTGCATTTCCGTTAGTTTCTTTAAAGGGTTGATCCTAATCCAAACTTTCAGAGAGCTGAAACTCTTTTGCTAAGCCAAGAATTTGGAAATTTATGTAAACTTTTTGTCAGTTCTGAGGGTGCCGCTAAATTCTAGGCTCTGGAATGGAAATGATATAATTTATATAGTAACCCCCCCCCAAAAAAAAGAATAAATTTTCTCTTCATTTTTAAAGAACAGACAATATTTTGCTCTGGTTGGGGACCACTCTTGTCCTCCCCTCGATCCTGTAATGGTTCTCATTGTTGTGAGGATTGAGTTCAAGAAGTTCCACTTTTAAGAAGTAACGTAAGCCTACTCTGTCAGCGACTTTTTGTCTCTCAATCAAGGCATAAGCCTACACATGTTTATGCCTTCTTCTTCACACCAAAGTCAATAATCATCCCACGAGGCTTCCCCCTGCCCCAACTTTAGCGGCAACTTTGTTCGTCGACAAGCTCCCGACCAGGGCGCTGAGAAGGGCCGGTGGCCTTTTGGTGAAGGAAATACGTCACACGGGGCCGCAGGTAAAGACGCACAGAGAAAGTTGTGGGTAAATTTCTGCCAGGCGCACCAGATGGCTCAATGTGGCGGTTATAGATTCGAGATTTTTATCTTAATTCCTCATTAGTAAAAATTCTCACGACACTTTATTAGTTCATCCAAAATTGATCAAGATAACAAATGATTTGAAATATTGCCAAAAGACATGTGATCAGTGATTCTTAGTGAAAATGTGCTTTACCGTGATCCTACCGAGGCAATGTTTTTATCTTAGGCGAACGAAAACCTTCGTGTAACGTTCCACCAGGAAGTGATAACCTCGCGGTCGGAGGTCGTTCGCGAAGTAGCCAATCACAGTGCAAAGCCATCAGCCGCCCGACTGTTGCAAGGCAAGGTTGACTTCTTCAGGAAATGTCCATGACGGGAGTTGCTCTCTCAGTTGCATATCCATAACAAATTGTTTCCACTGACGCCTCAGATAGGACAAGCCATTACATGGGGAACAAGTGGCACACACATTCAATACATTAATCATGTTTTAACTAAAATGTTATCACGAATGATCTCAAAATAGAGAGCAGTGAGCCCCCACCAAATAAATGTATAAGACACTTTAATTTCGAGATTTACCAAAGCTTTCAGTATACTGTGAGAAAACCCTGGTACAAATTCTTACGCGCAGGTCACATTAACGGTAGCTGCATTGCCGAATTTAAATATCACTGCCATGTGATGGTTCGTATATCAACAGTAGTTCATACCCGGGTTCGATCCCCATCTAAGCTGGCAAAGGTATCCAAGGGTTTTTACATCCACTACTTTGTTCTTTATCTGGTAAACTTATTTCATTGAGCACCTACTTGATGCCGCTCTCGTCTTCAAGTCTCCCCTTCCCCGGGTGCTGCGGAACTCATGGAGCATGGATGATGCAAGGGTCTCCCTGTAGCGTTGGACTTCAGGCTCCACGTGCACCAAACGTATCTTCGTTGGCTTCTCTTCGGAGGCGTTTTACAAGCTCTTCTTGAACCACATTGTCGTGGACGTTTCTAAGGAACCCTTGCTTTTATTATACATTTCTATAAATAATATCAACGATAACAGTATAATTCTATTTATATTAAAACCCAAAACTAGGTCGCCCTTGGAGACAAATCTTCCAGACTATGCGCACACATGGCAGCTGTTTTCAGATGTATCACTTGGGGGTTGAATAGTTTGGACATGATTATTATGTTTTAGTAATCGGTGAAGATCAATAAATTATAATTATGCATTGGGCGCACATAATGCAACTAACTGAGCCAAGTGTTGGTTGGTCTGCACTGGTTAGCAGTTTGCGTCATTACTGGTGCTGTATGCAAATACACCCGCTCCCATAAGTGTTTTGGCGTGTCGAGGAGAGAGACATCAAGACATCACTACATTTTAGATTTTAATAAATTATCAGCCTGCATGCGCGTCTCGGTAAATTAACCAGTTCACAGAAGAGCGCAGGACACCAACGTGCGTCATTGTGACACCACTGTAGTAAACAGCATATGGCACTTGGTGCCATTGAAATATTTCTTCGTTGTATGTAATCATTTACATTGGGTAAATATACCGTCATAAAAGTTTTATGGACGGAAAGCTATACATGCGCCCGAATGCACGGAGCGTATCGTGCAGATCATGCAAATTACTTTCATGAGGCCCAAACCTACCGGTATTACTGAATGTGTTAGGAATCCGGTTATGATAGTAGTGGTGGCGTTCATGATGGTGACGTCGCATGGAAAGATTCCAAAGGCGACACGAATTTAGTGAGCTAGATGTCGGGAAATACCTTGGTCCGAGTTGTGTTGTTCTGTGGATGGATGTTAAGATGACCGCCTGTTCCTCCCCGCGGCAAAGATTACGGGTTGCTATCTTGTGTTTACAAATCGTTACGGTGGTTCGAAGTCGCGAGCGCCCAGACATGAGCGGAGTGACCGAAGCATTGGAATATGTCCAGGAGATCGCAAGCCAGGGAGAAGGTAATTGCTCCTTCGGGCCTACCCTCAATCTTGAATACGACCAGGACAGATGGTCCGAGCAAGCTGCCGTGGCCGTCCACTCAGCCAACCTACTGACATCCCTCTCACGGACTGGGGATCACATCTTCGGCGCGGGCGAGGAGGACGAGCAACTCCCCTATTCCATAGTCAGAGCTAACGTGGACAACTACCCCAACGTCTTCGGCTCGGCCATAGCCTTTGATTACCTCCTCTACCGTGACTATGAAGTCTTCTCCCCGTACGCTTTCCAGGCCGCCGACGGCACCGAAGTCAAGGACCTGTCCATCGGCTACGACTACCGCACCAATTCCACCGACTGGTTTTACATTCCGTTCCAGAACTTCAAGGACGAGTCCTTGGATTCCAACTACACTTTTCACGGAAGCCTTTCGTCAAACGCTACATCTATGGCGAGGCTTACTCTCGGTGATGGCTACTGGACCAAACCGTACTTCGACTGCGGCGGGGGCAATGTTTGGATGGTTACTTTCTCAATGCCATTCTTTCTACCCGCTCGACGAGACTCAGCAAATGTCTCTTCAGATATCTCTTCCCAACGGCTTACTTTCGCGTGAGTATTATATATATAATTAATGCATACTACGGCCAGCCTGGTTTATTTTAGCGGCTGTCTCTTCAATTTTCTATAACAAGTTTAAGAACTTTTATCATTCGGTACCTGTAAACCTTTTTTTGTCTTGATCCATTCTAGTCTGCCGAGTTTTGCCAAACCTTTTGCATCATGTTATCTTATGTTTGTAATTATTTCATTTATTGTTTATTTAAAAGTGCAAAAGGATCTAGCGTCGGATTTTTATTATATTTGCGGAGTGGTATTCAGAAAAAAGTAACGAGAATGTGTGGGTAGTTTTCCTCATCAACACATCGTGATATAAGAGAAACAAAGGTAAGAGCCAGACACGAACTCGAGTGCTTCGAAACAAAACACGGTAATTGCCGGGCAAAAAAATGAAGCACACAGAGCTTGACTCAGTTTTGTACAAAGGGAGATCCTCATCAGAAACAAGAAACGAAGTGTACTTATACAGTTTTACGAGACCCGCAAAAAAAAATGTACAGGTCATGGACATGAAGGCTCATTACCCGTCATGTCCCCCAAAAAATTTCAGTCCGAGAGAGTCTAACAAAAGATATCTCGTTCTGACTGAGTATTCAGGAATGGAAGAAAGTTTTCTTAGATGGATGGTGTTGAAGACAATGGTCAGAAAAAGAGACGGGTGTGAAATTCCGACACTTTCCTTCCGTGGTGTATTAGTAATCTCGTCTACTTCGTAGTGCGATCACTTGGAACGCAGCTGCAGTTTGCTGTAGCTGGAAAGTGTTCTGGTTATGAAACTAAAGTGGTTCAGAGCTGCAGTTCATTGAATAGTTGCAGTGGTGTAAATGCACGTCCTGCCCCCAGCGAAACCCCCTGCCTCCCCCCCCCCCATTTGAAATTCTGGAATGATTACAAACTAACTATATACAAAATCCGTTTACAATGCTCCTTCACGAAGCACTTGCGCCGAACAGGAAGTGCGGATTTGCAGGCGGCAACGACAAAATCCCGGCAAATGACAGACGACGTAAAGGCTATTTTCGTCTGGCTGGATTCTAGCAAGAGTCATCGGCTCACTTTCGATTTTCCAGCAGAGTTACAAAGGAACTAATTCAAATCTTTGCCTCTACTAAAAACAGAAGATCCGCATCGGTCACAGACCCAATTTTCCTCAGACTTGCCTTCTAAATTCTTGATTTTAAATTTTTGTTAAATTTTACAAATACGTCGGTGTCCTGTAAGAATCGGTTAAATTACAGGCAAAATATTCAAATACCAATATTCCCAGAGGTTTTACCGTTACAGAAACGACATTTCCACTTAACGTCTCTTTCCTAGCTTAAATGGTACACCTTAGCGGCTCCAAAAATTGGGTGGTTAAATCACGACTTTGTGTGGTTGTTTTATCTCGCGTACGGTAAGCAATATGCATAAAATGCACTTCACATCAATGTGCTCATGCATACACGCGTATAGGTTTTGGAAATAACTGTATAAAAAAGCGGTATAACCACCCAATATTTCAGAGCCGCATTATACCCCGCATTCTCACAATTTCTAATTGTCCCCTAACCCCAATAAACTTGAGACGAAAACGTCCTCTTCGAGTACTGTCAGCCTGCTACTGATGTCTGTCTGATTCTAGAGTGCGATAAGTGTGGTTTTGTCGTTTTGAACAAAACGTCGGCAACAATTACTACTTCCCTAATTATACCCATTTCGGCTAATACGTATACCGTCTATGTTCATCTACGCAAATAGTAGCAAGTTAGTTTTTGTACACATATAGCCATAATTAATTTATTAGCGAGCCTTCAACAAATTGTTACCACGGTTACAAGTGAGCCAGTTGACCCTTGAATGCCTTTTTGCGTGCTTCGCTGAATTCCCTATGGCATTTCTGTTTATGAGTACTTTAAGGGCACTTTTTCAATGCCTAATTGTTTTATTTCAATGAGAATGGCTCTATCCAGGATTCAAGATTATATCCATTGCTTGAGATGAGATGTTGGATGACGAGAAAATTAAGATCTTATCGGTAAATGTCAGGGGGATATATTGATCAAGAAAAAAGGACCAGCCATTTGAGATCTGTCGATTACGTCCGGTAAATATTCCTGCTGGCCCTGTCGTTCCTGAGTGCAAACATCTGTGCTTCGAATTAGCTTCTGCTCGACGTGTCAGGGATGAACTGAATCAGTTTATAGGTTTGGTTTGGTTTGGTTTGGTTGTGTTGGGTTGGCTTGGAACTAGTTTGTCTAGGCTGGGTTGGTTGGGTTCAAGTTAGAGTCATGTTGAGGCATAGTTTTTCAAGTGTTGTTTTCGTACAGAAGTTACGTTTTGAAAATTATCAAATGTCCTTTCCCACATCCGTTGCGCACTTCCTTGCGTCGGTGTTGCTGACATTGCCAGACCACGCTTGCCGTTGCGTGACAGTCTTTGCCTGTAATTAGGAAGCCCGATCGGTGGGGAACATGGGTGTGGCGAGAGGGGACAAGATACCGGAGCGCCCCCCCCACCGAGAAAACCGAAATATTATAAAGGGAAAAGAGAGGAACTGAAAGAAAACTTTTATTTTTGAAAGTGATGAAAACCTCTGGGTGACTCCCCCACTCTAAATACACCTGGGTCATACTGATCCGGAATCTGGGTCCCATGGGTCCTGACCCCTTTCCGGGTCACATTATGACCCAAACAGGGGTTATAATTTGACCCAAATGGGGGTCATAATTTGACCCGGAAAAGGGTCAGGCCCCATGAGACCCAGATTCCGGGTCAGTTTAAACCAGGTGTTTTTAGAGTGCACATTAACGGTGCCTGCACGGGCTCAAAGTAGGTGAGTTGAATGAGGAATACGTGTTTTCCAAGCAGTTTCGGCTGTATCACTTTTATTAATTTTTTTTAAAAGCTGCCATACCACTGCAGTCCATTTGGCGACCGCAAGGTTTATCAGTTAGTTGCAAATGAGTGTCCCCCCCAAAAAAAATCTTCCCTTGGAAAAAAGTTCTTTGTTCACCAACGCCCCCCCCCCAAAAAAAATCCCGCATGACCTTTATGGCATCCTTCTGAAAGAAGGCATAAAGCCAAACATAATCCCCTATTTGGGAACAACAGTAGAACCTGTCGAGGATTGAACTCCACACACTATCACCGTGTTTTGCTCATCAGTTGGGAGGGGAAATTGAGAGGAGATTAGGTGTCAGAAGTGTGAGGAAACTGAGGTAAAGTCACTCCCAAACCACTGCTGGTTCGTAAAAGGAAAACTAAATTGAGTCGATCCATTTTTAGCAGTGGTGCACCCATTTGTCGTGGGGGGACGGGGACGGGAGGGTCGTCTCGGAATCTACCCCCAAAATAGCTCATGCTCAAGCCCTCCTCGCCCCCTCCCGCTACGCTACAGGGGACTTCGATTGATGGCTATATCAGAGCTATGTAGTAGTTTAACATGTAGGTTTATATGACATCTCCGCTTTTCAGAAAGAAAAAACAGTAACCTATGGGGGAGGCTCACATCATCTAAGCCCCACCTCCTTGTGTCCACCACTAATTTCGGGGCTATTTCACATGCGGGATGACAACGTGTTCGGATGGCTAGGGATTTGGCTCTGGGGCCGAGGTCCCTTTTCATAGGCTTGAGGATGGATTGTTCCTGAGAATGTAAATTTGTCAGCGATGGGGTCCTTGCCGACTGTATAAAAATCGATTTCCTGTAATTACTTTAACCCATGTCTCGCTGAAACAGCAGCGACAGTTGCCAGTATGAGTCTCGGCACGTAATTTACCAGTAGCTCTGCAGTTAATTAAGTGGTTGGTCCTGTTGTCAGGGTGCTATGAGATATCAAGGCCGACAAAGACTAATTTATTACGAGGCAATGTGCTTCTCTTGATAATACCTTTCATACTTCTCGAAACCCTTTTTAATATCATGATCTGTGACAATTTTGTGGCGATTTCGTGATATTTTGTAACCGCAATCAGGGGCGGATCCACTGGCAGAATTTTTCCGGGAGGGGTCAGACCGGAGATTTTTTAATATCTCATTTTTGTGGACAAGCAGAAATGATGAAACATTATGCATGCCATACATTGTTTACGATGGTTTTGTGCACTTAATTTAGTTATTTTTATTATTTTCCCATCCCCCTCCTGGAGGGGGGGTTCGGAGCTGAGGTGTTTCGACCCTTGCCCCCATTCCTGCCTTGCAATGCCAGACAGCACCTTTTGTGACGATCTAGTCAATATCCTGATTCGCAGTCATACTGCCTCTGGGCCACCAATTTGCTAAATACACCTCTATTTAATTACACACCGTTTTCGATGCCACACGCTGTCCATAGAAACTAACGGAAATGTTTGAATAAACCCCAGCAGTAATGTCGCAGCTGCGTATGGTTCCTAGGTAGGAGCCAAAGGTTGCCCCTCGGGGTCCTGGAAACGCAAAAATTACGATACACTTGAGTTTTGTGATTTCTTCACCTCATGCAGTCGCTTACTTGCTTGCTTGCTTGCTTGCTTAATTTGTCACAGACAATTCAAGAAGGGGAACGAATCGCCTCTTTTTTCTGCTTCTTCGAGCTATCCCTTTTTAACGGGTGAATATTCTAAAGAGTGACTCAAAACCTAAATCCTAAACTACCCTTCATTTTGCAACATTGGTCTCAAATCATTTTGAATTAATTAATGAACAATTTGAAAAAAACAATGAAAGAGCAGGAGAGAAACAGTCCCTTTTTATTCTGTGCAATATCCCGTAAATACAGGTAATTTCCTTTACACCTGAAATATAGACTACACATTACTCCTTGTTCTTTTTCTGTATTATTATGAAGCACTTGAAATATGTGGTATCGTAGCCTAGTATTGAGGGAACAACCGTATTTAAACCACGATGCCACAGTCTAATTTGTCTTTGTCAAATTTTGTAACGACTGTGCTTTCACCGACTCAGGGCTATTGTAAATTTCGTAGCTACTGCTTGAAATGCGACTAATGTCTTCAGTCGCAATAATGACCCCAAACAGGTTACAATTGGTTTTCCGAAAGAAAACGAATAAATGATAAATCAGAGAATCTCTTTTCCCTGTAATTTCAGAACATTACCAAACCTAACCTGTTATAAAGGATTGGGTGGTTTTCAAAACCTCGACAAAGCAGACTTATTTCATTGTTGACTCTCATATTCCAAGTCGCCATTCTCTCGTGCCACTGCTGGATATGATACCTTTGAATACAGTTTGATTTATCGTATTTGGGTCTGGATGCTTGTTACAAAGAAAAAAGATCCAGTGTCGACGACAAATTTCCTGTTTTCGAACAAGCGATATGGTAACGCGATTCGGTCTTTTCAACCAGACAGTGCACCCTTTAATTGGGCAAGTGCAAGTTATGTGAAGCATCCGGTATCGAATTATCGACCGACAAAGCAACCGAAGGGCTACATTCTGCGCCAACAGGACAAGAACTGCCAGCAAGATAGGGCATTCCGTTTAAGCTTGATGTTGAACTCGGCATTTTCTGAAGGGAAAAGGTTTTGGCCTTGGCTCCGTATGAAACCTTGAGGGCGTTCGGGGTTTAGCTTAATTTGATAATGTTTGCGTCCGTCCTGCGACCGTCGTAACACAGTGTAATTCGACAATCCATTACTGCGGTTGCACAACGCTGGTAGATAGGTGGTACGCGCGCATTACAATGACCAACAATTACAAGTTCAGTATTCCAACAGCGCATACTCAGCACGAGACTATTCGGATACAGCTGCGCCCGCGCAAGATAGTCTGTTCTTTCAGCGCAGCCGTACACTGACACACGCGCGCGCTTTCTTCCCAAAAGACCTTGGCTTTGTTTAATCCTCTTTGATCAATAAGCCCCAAGCTGGACCAATAGAGGGCGCAACTTCCCTAGCAAGGGCGACTGCTTTGGTCGGAACTGCCCTTTCCTGGTTCACAGACAAGTAGGAAATGCGCGTTACAGGCGCGTTGCTACCAGCAAAATAGTGGTGCCTTGGATTCTGCTCAATCACATATACGCGCCTGGATGCTTGCTATCCTCTTAAAAGGCGTCTCTTACATTTATCATTTTAAAAGCAATGAACAGAGTAAGGAAAGGAAATTGTTCGATTACGACACAGTTGAGCATGAGCGGTGCGTAATATCAGCCATTTTAATTTTGACACAAAATAGTGTTGCAATAAAAGCTGGGGGATATGCTGATGGTTGGAATACTGATGCTCTGAAGGTCTTAAAAGTAAAATGTAAAAAAAAAATAAAGACACAGAAGCATAATCGCGCAACCATATTTGTTCCCATTGTAAATTATTTGTCGATTGCTTTAGTCAGCTCCCCTTTTTGTCTTCTATCGGCGTCGTTATTTTGCTATTTAGGGCGGTGCATTGGAGAAGGGTAACCTTTACGGGAAAACATGTCTGCTAAACTCTCAGTCTGTGACAAAGAATGGTTTCAGTTTTTTGTAACTGAAAAATTTTCTTTGTAACTTTTGATGCTAATCCTTTCGCCTTCATTCAGCACTAACTCAAAATATCTTTTGAGTGTGGAAAGTTTAAAGGAGTGTTCCAGAAAAGACGAAATAGGATGAGTTTTTCACGCGCACGTTGCCTCTTTTAATTCCCCCCCCCCCCTCGGGAATCCTGAAATGAGGTCCTATAATGGGACAACCAATTTCTTTCTTAGGGTATCAGGTGTCTTTTTTACTCATAAATACACAGCTCTGATCACATCACTATCACTCTGCACCCATAAGCAATAACGGTATATACGTACTTCAGAACCTTAGAGGTAAGCACTCACATTGACATGCAGGCCTTGGCCTTGGTATGAGCCGCGGCTGCCTGCACGACGGGGAATTTAATACTTATGATCATGGCTTTTTAAATGAAATATTGACTTTTTTTTCTTCTTGGCTTTTAATCTAATTTTTTTATTTGTCTAAGTATCTCCAGGGAAGGAACGGGCGGCATGAGATTTTGGATAGCAATTCTATTTCGTTCGCTATGGCTGGTAACTCGTCCAGCAACCACGCTGTGTTTACTTCCTGCAGTTGCTGAACTGATAAATTGTGGGGTTGTAATTTGAAACATGTGCCTTCTTTATCTTGACACTGTCTCCACGGTAAACAGACTCTTTGCAACAAATCGTTTATAAAGAGCTGGTTTATTTTTGCCTCTCTCACAGCCGGGTGGGGGCGGTTTCCGCTTTGCAAGAACTCAGCTGTACTGTGCTTGATTTTTTTAACCTGGGCAGGCATGCAAAAACATTCATATATCATTACAGAGCCGAATTTAAGTCAATCAAAGGAATAGTTTTTTGATACGGTCATTTGAAATTCAAGGCAACATGCGTGCCAGCCCGCATGCATTGAGCACCACAGTGGAAAAAGTAGGCCTATACATTTTTGGCTGTCCTGTCTCGGGGGCAAAAAATTGTGCTTCGCAAGAAGGTCGTCGTCGTCGTTGTTGTTATCAATTTTCACAAAATCGGTATCAAAATGACTGCAAATAGTTACTCAGAATACTTATAAGGGCTAAGTTCTCAAATAAAATGCACTGCGGAGATGTTGGAAAAAAATGTCGAGAGGGTGGAGTCCCCCAGGTCTTTCAGGATTGAATCTGCTGAACAGGGATGGAACACTCACAAGAACAACAGTTACATTAAGGGCGTGTAGACTATGTGAACGCTTGGCTTGCTTGGGTTTCTGAGCATGCGCAGAACATATATACAAGCATATTCCTGCGGAATGTCGAGAAATATGTTCGTCCTGAGGTAGCACAAGTTTTATCCTGACGCCCTGAAGTCATTTGAAAGGACATGCACAGTTTATAGAACAACGCCATGTGACGACACGCTGTGCAACGGGGATATGAAGCCGTATTAGCAGGTATCTTTGGCGAGATTGGAAGGAGCCTAAGGCTCCTAATTGCAACACTCAATGTCTTTTCACATATTCCATGAACTTATGGGTGAGCATTCCCCAAGCAGTCAGCGAACGCCATGAAAGCTATCGTTCTTCTCCCCCGACCCCCCGGCCCCCATTTGCTGTCGGAGGGGAGCTCGCATTTCTGCCTATCAATTCGCTGCGAGGAGAAACTGGTATAATGTGGTCCCTCCGAGCGCTAGCGGCCTTTGGCCACCATATCCCATTATACAGTAGCACCCACTCGACAGTGATCGATTTAAAATCGATACGGGTGCCTTTGGAACCAGATGAATTAGTACCAAGGAACCTGAACTGCAGGAAATACCAAAAGGGAATTTCAGGGCAGTACAGGCCAATACAGGCCAGTACAGGCCAATATGATTTCCCTAACGTAATCATAAATTTCCCCAAAAGTGTATTTCATTCACAACTTTGCAGTTTGTCGATGTTGTGACACTACGCTGTATCACGGGTCGTTCGAAATTTCCATTTAGCTTTGAAAAAAAAGTGGAGCTTTGAAGGATTTCTTAAGACTCTGGTATTATCTGTTCTTTTCTTTCATTGTACAATATTTCATTGCAGAGGTGTGACGACGATTGACATAGCATTAAGTAGCCTAGACATCAACCAATGCCCAAAGAACGACAGTAACTCCGATGACCAAACCGTCTTCGATCCATTCGTGGACACACATCTGTGTAAAGACACCACTTACGTGAGTATGCTCCGGGACGTAACGAAGGAGGGGGAGGTGGAACACCCCCAATCGAATCCCCATGACCCCAAAGGGGGTAGGAAAAATGAAAAAAGAGGTCCGAAGCCAATAGAATAATGTGACTTTCAGGTAAGGTTCGAAAAGAGGCTATTAGTTGCGGTTTATTTACATGTATAACTATGTATAATTTACATAAATCTGCCATTATCGTAGGCAATGACAGTGTCCCCATGCTCAGAATTTACATATCAAGCAAGCTGTAATTGGTAACAAATATTGGAGGGGGGAATGGAGCCCACAGCCAGTGCAGGATCGAGACTACGGCAACAACCGTACGTGCAGCATAAATAGGAACTATTACGGCATTGCATACCGATAATTATCTTAACTGTTTTTTGTGTCATTGTTAAGTGTTCAACGTACACATGACGTAGGGACGCTAACCTTTGCCTACGTTATAGCCACCAGCAGCTTCACAATCCCACATGTACGATGTGACAAGTCAGGTGTCTGGGAGGACACGACAGCAGAATATCCAAAATACAGGCGTTTCACAATATTGCGCCTTCAAGAGTTTGCAACGTGTTGACCAATCACAATGCGCGAAATCTGTTGGCCCTTTTCAAACGCGCACTGGGTCGATAGATTTGTTTGGTTGGTCAACGCGTTGTAAACTCTTGGAGGCGCACTGTTGTGAATCGCCCGAATTCTGGAAGGTTTTAGTGTAGAAATAGCTGCAACATTGAAGTTTCTGCCTTGAATGCCACGACACCTTTGCAATAAGATGTGCGTATTGACATTGGCGCCCAAGTCAAAAAGGCGCAAAAATGGAAAACGGAGATTACGTGAAGGAATAATGACGAGATTGCGTCAAAACACATTATATGCGCCCTTTCATGAGCATAGGTGCACCAAGTCCGAACCCCTTGGATGTTCACAAACGCTTAGCAATTGTAATACTGCTGGAAATTTTGTCTGACTAAATGTCTGAATAAAATAACCCGCATGAATGAAAATATTGGTTGGGGTTTTTTTGGTTGGGTTTTTTGGGGGGGAGGGGGAAATGAAACATTCATGGTGTTATTACCGACTGTACTCTTCTTTAGGGAATTGAAATCCCACCACAGTGTCGTCCATTAAGGAATATTTAAAGACCTTAATCTAAAAAATAGCAACACATCAGGCTTTCCTCTCTAACCTAGATTAAACACTGTGCATGACCTAGGGATACCCATTTATAGCTGGACGTGACGTACTTGTTGAAAGATTTTTGTTTGTTTACGTGGTCTCTTTTTCAGTAAGTATAGTTATCTGGGTGTGTGTACTCAGCCGTGACTGTGATAAAGATTACTCTCCTCAGAGGCTGGGGCGAACTTCCAATTATTGTTCTGTCTAGATGGGACTTTGGCCATTAAAATTGGTGCCTGAAACTCATTAATTTGATTTACGATTGCTCTCTTTTCCTGTCCGACGTGCCTCCATGGCAAAGATCGGCGCATACGCGTTGCACTGTACAAATGAATTAGGCAATAAAAGGTGTGAGCAGTTTCTTAGAAGTTGGTCTTTTTAGCATGCTATCAGTCGATTTCCCTTCGGCCAGTCCTAATGCAATTTTACACTGCAAAAAACTGTAGTGTTAAATTGGTTGTAAGTTAACATCCTGGGTGTTATTAGAGGACCAAACCCTGTCTGGTGTAGTCCTATGATAAACCCTGGGTGTTAAATTGGCACCACAGTTTTTGTAGTGTGAGTAAAGTAAACTCAGATCTCGTTTTCAATAAAAATTAACTTTACCCTTTTGGGGTTCTTAAAGCTAATTCTCAACAATATGGTATATTGTGCATTTAGTCATGATTTGTGTCTGTTATAGAGAGCGGATAATAGAGTATTTTCTTGGAAATGAGGTTGTTTTGTGCGAATGGATACACTGGACGACATCATCAACTAATGATTTCTGTTTTGTATCCTGTTTTTAATCCCAGTGTAGTCCTATTTCTGGGCTTGGCTTCGAGAGGGGTGCGTATAAGTGTATTTGCCGGAAAGGCTACTATTTTCCAGACACCTCGAACCCTCATCAAGCATTCAATGGCACCGAAATCGAAGCCGAATACAGCAAGAAAGTACATGGTTACGAAAATACCTACGACAGGTATGTGGACTAATTTTTTTAATTTTAATTAGTTTTAATTCTAAGCCTTGGCATCTGCTTTGACACCCCAAAATCTAATGACCAAGCTACTAATCTTGTAAAACAACACAAACTCAGTAAGCATTCACACTTCGATTTGAAATATGATAAATGAGTCAAAACCGTAGTAAATGCATGTCCTAACAAAACATCAAAGTGCATGTGCCATTAGCGTTAATACTGAGAATATGAATAATTATAATATGTTGATTTATTGCATTGATTAGCCCTCTGAGTGCACCCAATGTGTATCGGTTCCGTAAGGTACTATAATTAGGATTTTCCTTGTTAATTCTACCGTTATTCCAAATTAATGGAAAGCCAATCCATTGTAACATTAGGCCCCTACTACTGCAACAAAACTTCTTGCAAAATCCAGATCTATTCAAACCACAAGCATGAAACTTTCAATTCCACAGAGGCTCTGACGTGGCCTGAAAATGAATAGATTTAGTAAATCTTCAGAATTACAAGAACCAAAATAGTAAAATGAATGGAACAAAAACATTTCAACTGAGGGGGTATGCCATTGAGAAGCAATTATGTTTTTGTTTTTGTTTTTTGTAGAAAAATGTGTTTAATAATAAAAATCATGGATCTTTATGGTTATTTGGGTCTTTTGGCACATTATTTTCACAACGAAAAAGTGACTTTGCAATAAACTGTTTTCGATAGGCTTTAAGTACATGATCTGATTGCATATTGGGGAAAAAAGTTTTTTTTTTCCTTAGGGTCATGCATGGACAAAATGTAACGAGAGTTACCTGAATTTTGACTTTAACATTTGACCGGGGCTTGAGTTGTAAAATGATTGCGGTAGCCTGTGTCTAGCACCTGTATGTCACAAGGGAATAGCAAACGTTCCGCCAGCAATACACAGCATGAGGAGGTATTTAAATCTTTATGTCCTCGTTTGTTTATGCAGTTTACCGATATTAACCATTATTGCAATTCGGCCTCAGAAGTAATTTGTTTAATTCCCTTTCCAAAGTTTTGTAACTGGTTCCAAATTTATTCTTTGATAAAAATCTACAATTAATTCGACCTATATTTATGTTTAAAAACAGCGCAAAGTTATATTTTGATACTGTAAAAAGTAAAGCCAGTTTATCGTAGAACTGCCCTTTTAGTTACTAACTAATCACTAACGTGCGCTCCTCCACTTCATTGTACGCGCAAGGGAAATAAGTGATTATACAGCAATGAAAGATCGTTTCTTCCGCCATCTGCTCCTTTTAACAAACGAATTGGTTATCAATCTCGGCAAATGTCTCAAACGTTACATTTCAAAAACTATTACCGCTAGCATATACCCTCTTTAGAGCAAAGACAATTTCGGACCTATGGTTTCGCTTGTCTGAAATGATATATTTGTTGTCTTTGACAGACTGACTATAACCCTCGCTCAACCTCGAGTAGTGTTGATCACTGTGAACTCAAAAAGAATATCTTTAAATTCATATGGTTTCGAATAGCCCATTCATAACAGAGCCTAAAAGTTGACCCCTGATGGTGCGCTTCCGGAACCCTTGGATAGGAAAAAATAACGTGCAAAGATTTTATAATTGTAATATTTTTCCGTTCAGTTACTTCTTAAAAAATCCAACTTTG